CCTTTAATTAAAAAGTACTTTCTATAATATTTATCTCTTACTTTGTCACTTGTTTATTCTGAACACTAGTCCATCACAATCATAAAAATAAAATTGTTTCAAGATGCAGTGCTACTCTGTGCTTTGGCTCTCAATTCTTATTTTAGCCATTGCAGTTTTGAATCCTTAGAACCTTAGTTCAGTTCATATCCACTAATCAGTGCAGAAAACATCATTTGGTACAATAATTCGTTATCTTCAGAGATGGCGGAAGGTCACTCTACCGACTACAGATGCGTTGTAAAAAAAACAAACTTACTGCAGCATCATTACAGCACACCGGTCCACCAGGTTTGTTTTCTATGCAGGTCATTTGCGGTGGGCAGTCCTTGTTGTTAATGCATGCTGAATTTTGTGCTTTACGCAGTTTACTTTGCGGATGCTTTATCTTAGCTCATTTGAAATGATTAACACAGATTTGCATTATGAGGTTCATAAAAGTTTTTTCAAATCACTTCCCTGAAAACTCACGTTTTGCTCCTCCGTCTGAGCATTTAAGTTTCGGCATGATTAGGCCGACGGAACTCAATAGAAGCAAAAGAAACAACGCTTGCATGGTAGCTTTCAAATTATGAGACAAATTATGAGACATAACAGATCTTGGCTCGTATTTATAATTGTGTACAAAACAGCTGAGAAAATATCGGGGAACAATGGGATGCTTCGATTGCTGAAAGAAAAAACATAAAATAGCTTTCCTATGCAGCAGCCAATCAGCCGATTTTATTTGGTACACACAACATTTGATTTGAAAAGTTACAAAATCCTTCATATGAGAAATCGCAAGAGACAACCTGCCATGCCTTCTAAGATCTGATGTTTTGTTGAAAAGGTCAAACTGCTCGAAGATTTGATGCTGAACTAGAGTGCGGATGAAGGGACTGCTTTACAGATCCACTCAGTTTGATGGCAGTAGAGTCAATGACGGAGAAACGTTTTGTGGTTTTTTAAAAGTGTTCTATATATTTTTGGGATTCAAGGCACCTTTCACTCAAATTCCAGCTTTTGTCGTTTCTGGACCTTATCATGTCCCTGATTCTAATATGAAGTCGAGAATCCACGAAAACCCTGACAATCACCACTCCGGAGAACCCACAGGTGGCTGTCCGGAACGTGATTGGATGAACAGGCATGGATGGGGAGGGCGGTGCCGTCTAGGGGTCCTCTTGCCTTTTATCCCGGAGCGATTTTCTCGCTTCGGAAGCAACATCTACGCCGCGACTTGGGCATTGGCTAGATGGGGGGGGGGGGGGTCCACTATCATAAGCTGCCAAAAGCTCAAGACTCTCAACTAGGGTGGACGGTGCCTTTGAGCAAGTCACTTGTTCTTACAAGTAACTTGAGCTTACGCTATAAGAACACAAGATTTCTGTAAAAAATTTCTAAACATAAAGCTTAGACTAGGAACTTTTGTCCACTCTTAAGACTCTCAAAAAAGGAATTACGCGCACTTTCTCTAGGGCTGCAATAATGCTTGGCTTTATGCAGTCGCAATCTAGCTAAGTTTTATCGGATTCGTAGCTTAAGAGCTCGTCGAGTTCAGCAATATTCTTTAGGAAAAACAATGCCAATCTATCATACAATGTGCCAATGTAATTGAACGACCTGGCATTTGGTTTTGTACTGTACAGTCGCTTCATTTCATATGATCATGTGTGTAATTGCACACACAGTTCACCTTTGGCGTCCCGATCCTGGATTCGTGGGAGAAACAAGCCTTCAGGTAAGTGTTTCCAAGATGTTCTTAGCATTTCTTTCCTTTTTAGTTATTAGTCACCTCAAATTGATGTAATCGATAACAATCGGTGAGTCTTTTGCGTTTTTGCGATTTCAAATCCAGGATGAGGACGCCAAAGTGGACTGTGTGTGCAATGGCACACATGATCATATGAAATGAAGCAACTGTACTTCTCCAACAATTAGTACAGTAGTCCTTGTGTTGTGATTTCTAATACGATACAAAAGCGGAGTCTCTAACTGAGTGGTTGCCTAGAACGTCTGGCAAAAGATGTCACCTTTTAGCCGGCAGGATCATTCGCGTGAGTTTGTAGAAAGCCTGCGTAAAACTGCTTTTAAAAGCTATTGAAAACTTCCTGAAAAGCAAAATTTCGCCTTTTTTTGTGAACTTCAAAAATCACTTCGGACCCAGCATCAGTATATATGACAATGCCTTTAAGGGCTGAAAAATGGAGAGCCTGACAGAAACACAGAAACATCGACGGAAGGATAAAGGTATCACTATAATGGTTTCAAAATTATTATTATTCTTGATCACTGCCAAACAGATTCTTATGAAATTAACAATAGAAATATTAGTGCTTTCATAAAATGTTTTCATTAATCTTTCGGATTTGGAATGCTTCACAATACTTTGTAGGTTTGCCATTCATATTTCTAGTGATAATTCAAATAGGGCTCGGATAACATTCGATAGTGCAAGCAGGCTTAACAAGATTTTAAACATTCGCACTATTGTTCCTGGTGAACTTTAATTCCAAAATCCGAAAAAATGGAAGGCAGTGAGCACTTCTTGCATTTTTTCATGACCAGAATGTCAAAGTAACCTGTTTCTACATACTCCCGTACACGGGTTCAAATCACACGACCATTAATTTTTTTATCTTTCTCTTCCAAAACAAAGTAGTTTCAAATTGAGCATAAAGGACTACAAGTAGCCAACATCTTCGTAATTCAAGTCGACGTTCTGCTTTTAGCGGAATTTAGAGGAGTAAAAGTGAATGCACTTTTGCTTTGAAAAATGGGCGAAAATGCGTCAATATCATGACAGTAACTTTTTCCATGGACATTGTAGATTTAGGTCATATCAGAAAGGTGAATGTTCTCAAATATTTGAGATAATCTTTGCTAATAGACATTGTATTTATGAGCATTGTGAGCACATTGTGGTTGCTTCAAACCAGCAGTCAATTGGTGTAATTGCATCACTTTTATGCAGGATAAGGTCACATAAAGTCGCACCAGTTCAAAATTACTGAGATATGTACTGGAGTGGTAGTAATTTGGTCGAAACCATCATGTTAACTGAGTTTTCAAGACACCAGCTAACCAGCAGCTTCACATGATTTTCCCAACGAAACCACGAATTAACCAATAGGAAACCTCGAAATGCTATCTTGCAAAGCAAAGTCATTGGAGGAGATCGAAACTCCAACCATTCTCATGCTTGTCGGCAATCATTGCACTTTACCAAATTTGCAGTTCGGTCCCCAGCCTTGCACCTTCCTATAACCTTATCTAGCTGTAAACAAGTAAGCTTTCTCATAGTAAGTTGCAAAATGATCTCCCTCACTCTTCTTAACTTGCAAAACCAACACATCATTGTTTTAAACGAAAAAGTGGTCGGGGGTACTTTTCATTTTAAACTATGATGTGGTGGTTTCACGTCTGCGTCTCATGAAATGAAGTGCTGTTTTCATTACTCTATCTGATAAGGGAACAATGGTGTTAACCTGCTGTTTAACTCATAGTTTGGTTTAGAATGAAACAAGCATGAAACAGTTATGGTTTTCTGCTAGTTACTTGCTTGTTTCATGATTTTGTATGATCAATTGAATTGAGTGGCCGTGAAAAGATGATCATGCTTACCACGATGTAACCATGATTGAACTATCACATCATTTGTTGGTTTCGACCAAATTACTACCACTCTAGATGATTTGCGAAAAAAATAATTTGTGCTGAGAAGTAGAACGAAGAGGGATAAGTAAGCGCCATGCTCATAACAGGCAACAACCGTTTCCAAATTACCTTATGCCTAATCATTTATTAACTCTAACATTTTTCTGCAAACTGAGCTCTGGTGCTGAGAGATGGTATTGAGCTCTGATGCTGAGAGATGGTACAAAAGAGCAAGAAGCACGCTAATCACCAATATAACAGCCTAGAATCTACTGTTTTTATCGATGTTATCTGTTTCTGTAGAAAAAACGCTGGAAATAGTCAGGGGGGGGGGGAGCCTTTTGATTACAAACGCAAATGAGTGAGAGTAAGAGGAAAGAAATAGGACAAGAAAATGTTTTGTAGGACTGAGATGAATTGCTAAGCTTTCATGGTAATACAATGTCTCATCTGTCTCATCCATTTTTTGTGGACGACACTTTTGCATACTTGCAAGCTACACAATTAGAAATCCGCTAAACAGATCTCGTACGTTTGTTGCGTTTTTATGCTCATCCTTTGCTCCCTCATATTTTGCTTCGGTACAGACTCCAAAAAAAGCTTCGACTCCAATGCTACATGGTTTAACCTTCAAGTGCTACGTATTTCTTTGTTGTGTAAAGCAGAAACCTTTTGTTGAGATTCAAAAATCTCATGGCTTCTAAGCAGCTTCAGCAAAGAGCCTTTTGAAGCAGTGCACCAACAGACGACTTTTGTTTTATTTTGTTCTTGCATATGAAATATTGCTCATGTTTTTTCCCCTTCTGTTTCTTTTTATTTTCAACGATTTCTAAGCAGCGAATCCAATTGTTAAAATATATCAAAATTTTGCAGAGAATGACTACTGGTTTTTTTGCAAAGAATGGCTGTGCAAACCATCTGTTTTAAGTTTTTCTAGGGGTCTGTGTCATCATCTGCATACACATTACATCATGCGCTTTTATGCACTTTTAATTTTTTCGTAATTTGTATGTGCACCAATCATGCAAACATACATTCAATGTAGACTTAGAGAAGGCAAATTCTTGTTTGAACTCATAAGACTTCCGTCGACTTTATAGCATTCAACTGAAATTGCTCATTTTTCAAATGTAGATTAAGCGTTGTCAGGAATACATGGGGCCGTGTTTGCCAGTCTAAAAGTGCCGTGAATGGCATTTAAACTCTCAATCACATTGCAAAGTCCGTCTATATAGTCAAGCAGAAGTTTCTTCATCATCATATATGAGTGTGATTAGACTGGCTGCTAAAAACAATTTTCGTAATCAGCAACAACTCTTTTCAAATGGTGATGTTCTTGTTTGGAATGCTTTTGTTTATTGAGTATATTTTTGTTCAACACTTCGCTTTACGAAAAATCAATAAATGAAATGAATGTATCTTTTCGTTATCGGAAGCCAAAGGATTGCATGTTGCTGCATGCTGTTTTGCATTCATCAGTTTCCTGAAGTAATGAAAAGTTACCGCCGGCATAGCGTATAGCATTTGTTAAAAACGTACCTTCAGCGTTCTTTACTTTGACGATCTGCAAAATATTACATTAATAATCCAAAGTAAAACTCAAACTTGTGGTTATTGTATTATGTCGCTATCATGTATTTGGTAAATATTACCATCGCTCTTCTAACAAATTTTGAAGTTGTGTTTCTGTTATTAGAACTTAGAGATTGATGCTGTGCATCCATTTTTTCAAACAATATTCGGAAAAAAACAGAGATTTTTTGTCTACAGATCGATCGCCCTTTCAGATGCATTATAACAAACAACGCTTGGCAAAGGTAAAGGACATTTGCTGCTAAGTTGATTGTTACCACCTCAAACCGCTTTCCATGTGAGGACCACAAAATTTCAAAAAATACTACATCTCAGTCTTAATCTAAAAACATCAGTCTCTGTTTTGAAACTTTTTGAGCAACCCCACTAGTACCGTGAACTTTTGAGCGCACTACAGATTTTTCGAGTCTTGTTTGTTTGCTGACATTTTAGACGGCAAAGATTGGGCAGCAAATGTGTACATAAACTTCATAATTGAAAGTTAGCTAATAGAATTCGGTCTAGTGAAGGCATCGCGAGGCCTAGGTATTTATAATTTTGAGTGTAAATCATCATGAAGAGCTTAAAACGCTGATTTCAAACCTGCCTCTTATATCTAAATAAGATCTTTGGAAATTATGCACACTCTTTTGGAGGGAAATTGTAAAGAATCTGCCGGAATTGTGAAGACCTGACATTTTAATCTCAAATTACTTTGAACGGCTTATCTATCTCATTGTGATGCCCCTTTTCAAATGTCATATTCTAGCCCAAAAATCGTATGAATGACCCCAATATGTAGTCACTTAGAACATTACAAGTTTTGATGATAAAACGCTCAACTTCCTTTCGAAAGGTGTTTTGTAGAATATTTAAGGCAGTTTTCGCATCAGTGCTGAAAGCTCTTTGTATCGGTATGTATCCTGTAGTAAATGTTCACTTCCACTTTGCGACTTTCGCTTGTAAATCAACTGTAAGATAAAAGAAATATCGTCAAATGAATCCTTTGCGGTGGCACCAAGTTCGCCTTTTTTTGATTGCCTAAGCTGAATGCTTGTCTCGGAGTAAAAACATATTTTCTAGTCATCGTTGACTACAATCATTACCTGTCATTATCTGTTTACTCTGAATAGTAGAGTCTATCACGAATATGAAGCTGAAATTTTTTAAAGAATGCAATAGCACTCTGTGCCTTAGCTCCCAACTCTTATTTTAGCCACCACATCAGTTTTGATTTCATTTTTACATCCCACTAATCAGTGCAGAGAATTTGGTACAATGATTCGTTATCGTCAGAGATGGCAGAGAGTCACTTTACCGATTACAAATGCATTGAAAAAAGCCAAACTTACTGCATCTTCCTCACAGCACACTGGGCCACCAGATTTGCTTTCGACGCATGTCATTTTCGGTGGGCACTCGTTGTTGTTAATGCATGCTGAATTTTGTGCCTTAGGCAGTATACCTTTGCGGATGCTTTATTGTAGCGCAGTTAAAATGATTAACTCAGTTTTGCATTATGAAGTCCATAAAGGTTTTTTCAAATTACTTTTCTGAAAACTCACGTCCTATTCCTTCGTTTGAGCATTGAAGTTCCGATGGCATGATTAAGCTGACGGAACTCAATAGAAGCAAAAGAAACAACGCTTGCATGGTAGCTTTCAAATTATGAGACAAATTATGAGACATAACAGATCTTGGCTCGTATTTATAATTGTGTACAAAACAGCTGAGAAAATATCAGGGAACAATGGAATGCTTCGACTGCTGGAAGAAAAAAACACGAAATAGCTTCCCTGTGCAGCAACCAATTCGCATTCACTGTCATTCTATACATAACATTTGGTTTGGGAAATTACGAAATTCTCTAGGGATCGTTCATACCGCGCACATAGGCGGACGAAGGCGGACGAAGCCGCACAAAGGCGGACGAAGGCATGTGTGAGTGTGTGTGTGTCGAGAGAAACGAGACGAGGCGTGTGTGAGTGTGTGTATGTGTGTGTCGAGAGAAACGAGACGAGACGAGACGCGCCTTCGTCCGCCTTCGTCCGCCTTCGTCCGGCTTCGTCCGCCTTCGTCCGCCTTTGTGCGCGGTATGAACGATCCCTTAGGGACCTATGATATGTAAGAAATTCGTGAGAGACAAGCTGCCATGCATTCACAATTCAATTTATTGCTTAAAAAGACAAACTGTTTAATAGCGTGATGCCGAGCTAATGTAAGGATGGAGGAACTGCTTTACAAATTCACTCAGTCCGGTGGCAGTAGAGTCATTGGCAAAGGAACTGACTCCTGAAATTGCGATACACATTAGCTAATTTTCATACTGGTAACATATTAGCTGTTCAAGCTTGAAAATATTTGTTACAAAATATTAGGTCGTTAAAAAAGTAATTTGGCTTTCTTCGGGCACCACATTTGACGGAACAAAGGTTTCTAAGAGACCTTGGAGGCATTCGATGCAGAATTTCATTCTCTTTTTAATGGTTTTGAGATTGTTGCGAAATAGTCAATGAGCCTTCAGAAAATAACCAAAATCTGCGACCCATGCTTTGAGATGCAAGTTTCACAATTTTTTAAAACTTTCATATCAATCTTCGGAAGAAGTTCAAGTAACGATTCGACAGAGTAAACCTTATAGAATACTTTTTTTTCCTTTCTCGTAGCTCGCCATAATTTTTTGAAAGATTTTTTAAACAGAACCATCGGATTTTGGCAGGCTTACCTCAGCCACAATCGCATCAAACATTATAATTTCCGGAATTTGAGATTACCAAGATGGTACTAAAAGTTAGCATCAATTTTACAAAGCAAGTGAGGTTTTACGGGTTCGAAATATCAAATTTTGAGTTTTTCAGGTACAGCCTGGGGCTCCTTAAAAAATGGATTGTAATTATTCTATCCCCGAAAACTGAACGAATCGGAAACAAAAAACACCCCTTAGAAAGAGGAGAAAATGCTGCATCGAATAGTACCCGAGCTGTTCTCGCTTTGATGTTCTACGAGGATTTAGCTGCCCAAGTATGGACGATAGCATCAGTTAAAATTTTGTTAAAAATGTATGGCAAGCTATGGAAAGGAGAAAAAAGTAGTACCATATTCTATAAGGCTTACTCTATCGAAACGTTACTTGAATTCCTTCTGAGGATTGATATGAAAGTTTTAAAAAATTGTAAAACTTGACCATCTCTAAAAGCATGGGTTGCAGACTTTGGTTATTTTCTGAAAGCTCATTGACTGTTTTGCAACATTTTGAAAACCATTAGAAAGAAAATGAAATTCTGTATCGAATGCCTCCAAGGTCTCTTAGAAACCTTTGTTCCGTCAAATGTGGTGTCTGTTTGAAAAAAGCGAAATTACTTTTGAAACGACCTAATACAATGTTAGCCAGCCAATCTATAATAACTATAAAGTCGGCGTTCAAATTTCGTAGTGTATTTTCCCCAACGGAATGTATACAAGCTTTCAGAAATACAAAGTAGAATTTTGGCTTATTGGAAATTTATCGATGAGTAGTTTTGCAATATCTGTTAAGCAGAACCTTGTAAACCTAAATCTATGTAATTCTGAACATAAAATTGTTTTCTCTTGCTCTAAAAAGACTAATCAAATTTTTGTGTTCAGGGTGAAAACACTTATTAAGAAAAGATTGGTCAAGCCGCCATGTAAACTACAAAAAGAAAGATGTCTTTGCGTGGTTTACGAGTATAATCGTATACAACAGCCCTCTTTGATAAAAAAAAGATTAAGTATTTATCTATTAGACATGATCAGCTCACAGTAGAACATTAATCCTATATATCGGCTTTTAAAATCATAGTTAGACTAATCAAGCATTACACTGCAAAACTAGGTTGTTATGCAATCCTCATTTATAGGCGTGTACGCTACTTACAAACGGAAACTGATCGTTTTGTTCAAAAGTTAATATCAAAAAATGCGGTGTTTCAAGGTAAAGCATTGAAGAAAGAAACAAAGGCTATTATTTTTGAGAAAGTCGAGATCAAGCTTTTCAGTAATATCATCTAGGTCGGGCTCATTTGAGAAAAAATAACAAGAAAAGATCATCTGATTACAACTACTATTTCAGCTCTTAAGGATGCATATCGCAAACAATAATGCTTAAAATGCAGTTCGCAAGAGGTAAACACTGTTCTTGGCACCGAACCTTTTCGAATTTCATACTACGACTGCTACTATACTACTTTTTACACCATTTCGTCATATTTGCTCTAAATATGCATCGTTCAGCATCCTTCATTTGAAGAGTATTAAACAAGAAACACCTCTTACGAAGTTCCTATGTACTGTGTTTGCGGTGCCGGGGAAGTGCTGTAAAGTTCACGGGTGAAAAAATAGCCAAGTGTGAATCATTGGTATTTTGTATACGAAAGTAGCCGGCGTAGCAAAAGTGGCTATTTGTCGATTTCTCGGCATCGCAAGCACACTGTGTTGAGATAAAAAATCTAGACTGTAGCAGTAAACCTCTGTACCTGTTTACTCAATTTTTCATGAAGACGGTAACCATTTTTTTTTACAATTGCACAGCTTCAAAAAGGATGTCTGCCCATGCTGATGTGTATTAACTACAATCTGCTATTCGTATCAACCTCTTGAATCCTGTGGCTGATTGGTTAATGTAGTCACACTGGGTTTTTTTTGTGAAAAAAATTTCTAAATGTTTTTCTTGACAGGATTAGTATATCATTCACTGTTGAGATTATACGAGTAGTAGTATATGTGTTTTGAGCCGGTCTGGTGTTTTTTCAACCTGTTATGAACATAGTATGCATAATTTTTGAATATGAGTAACGTAGATATCGCATTGTTCTTCTTTGATTGCTAGTGAAGCGAAGCAGTGTTAAGACAATATTAAAAACCTGGTAGGAGGTACTGTGCTTCTTGACGACGAGGATATCCAACGACCTGATGAGGAAACAATTGCTGAGGTACTGTGCAAACATTGCATACTTGACCTCTTTTTTATTGCTGCACTAAAACAATGCGTGGATTGAAGTACTTCTCGCATTCAGAAGTATTTTTCAATAATCTTTGTACTTATCGACTAAACCACGCAGTAATACATTCCAGATGTTCTCCAAGCGTCCAAGTAATGATTTGAAGGATTTCTATACTTTCCCAAATTGCCAGGTAGTTAGTCATAACAGATTCTAAGTAATCAGATCTTAGTCAGATCTTAATCAGATCTTAACATATCATAAATAAATAAATAAATCTTCAAAAAATATTCTTCTCACCTGATGAATGATGATTATCGCAACCATCAAAGCTCTAACAAGTTGTGACATAACTCGATTTATTGTGTTATTGTATTAGGTTGGTCCGTAAGTTTTGTCGCACCATTGCCAAAAAATCAACTTCGTCCAGGATATGGTATTGATTTTGTTGGAAAGTTGACTCCTTACAGTTTTCCACTCGTAATCGATAGAATTGCCCTTTCTGTTCCCCAGATATTTTGCCGTTGGAAAATAGTAGAAGCACCTTGTTTTTCTACTATCGAATGTAGGAAGTCCCTCTGCAGCCAAAGAGGTGAAATTGATTTGCGGTTAAGATTTTAAAATTTAAAATAACTGCAACGGTCCAACTTTACATTAAGAAATCAGCTCAAAAAATTTTGGAAGTTTTGATCCGAATGTATTTTGTTGCGCAAGATTCTCTAGTAATAACTACGCATGTTTTTGATAGATCACGCACTTTTCCGGTAAATTCGGAGGAAGACTAGGAAAGAGACCTCTAAAATCTGGTCCTTTGATTCCAAATGCACAAATTCAGAAAAAAATTATTGAAACGAAAGCGTACATAAGAAACTGGAAGAAAAAAGCTTACAAATCAAAAGAAACTTCCAGACTTGTGTTGCACAAAACTTACACCCAAAAGTAGGGATTCAAAGGCGTGCAGTTTTATACCAACATAAATCAAATTTTGAAAGTTGGTAAGTAATGAAAGATTAGGTTCAATTCTTTCAAATCGTTTTGTCCACATCCCTTTGGCAAGGAGCATGTCCAGACACGAAGCAATATGACAGCTTATTTATTTAGGATGTGCGCTGTCATTATTTTCTTTTAATCATTATTTCGGCGATGGTGTAGACGAATGTTATCTGGTGTACGTTATCGGTATCCTCAAGTTTTCCTCTTTTTCAAAAAACACAGCTCCTCGAATGATGTAAGTGTACCAGTTTTTGGCGGCATTTGGCTGAGCTTTTAACCACAAGGACGCCATAGTGCATGCGGTGTTTAGTAACTCATTTGATCATTTGAAATGAGTGTAGGTAATCGTTTGAGTAAATTCAGATTTTTCAGGACCGTGCTGAAAACCATAAAAAAAACTCACGAGTAAAATGCTTGTAGTCATTCACAATTCATGGCGACAATATGACCCATCAAATTGTATTCAGCTTTTGCACTGTAGGATCAGCTTTGAATTTTTTGAATTCATAAAGGTATGACAGAGGTATGACAAAGGTATGACACACATCAACCGTCGCCAAAGGTAGGCTGCTGGGAGAAGGCAAGGCGAAATGGCCGATCTCAAGGACTGTAGACTTTGTCGGCTATAGAAGGTGGCAGAGCAGTAACTAAGTAAGCAGCATTAGCCAGTTGGCTGACGATTCAATCTCAAATCGTTCTGCAAGTTTTTGAAAAAAGGTATTGACTTCAATTTTTATTCCTTAGCCAACTGTTAAGCCAATGACTGCTCGTGGTTGTTGTTACGGATGATATAAAAGTTGATATCTCAAATCTAGTCTATCACCACAGCGGGCCCTCGTGGCAGCCAAATAATGCAAAACACAAACTTTTCTAAAACAAATTCGCCTTAGTTCATGGCGTTTTCACGTACGTAACCAACTTAACGGAGTAGAGAAAGATTTAGATGGAATGCTGAGAAAAAAATCCAAGATGGAATGCTGAGTTCAGTCATGGTACTACAGTAATCCATCCGCTGTAGCGTGTAGGTGCAACACAAGTGCTATGTTCTGTGAATAATCTTGCATCCTTTCAAATCACTCATCCAGAAGTGCCCTAAGCAGGTCACGAGTGTTGGCAGTAGTATTCCTGCTCATACTCTGATTTTCATGATTAAACAGATTAGGAATGAGGTTCACTTGATTACTATACGATAATTTGGTAAGCTAGCGTTGTGTCGTTGATCTGACCCAGACTAAATCATTTTTTGGAGTATAAAACTTTTTTGATTTGAAGCAGCTTTGATAACGAGTCACTAAGGCAGAGCACCCAATTTATGGTTCTCGTGTCGTCACTCATACTTACAAACAACACCTATGTTATTTTCAAATGATCTTTGAATGTGGCTGCAAACTTGTGCTCTCTAGCTTCATCTCTCAACTAGAGGGTCGTTCTTGAAATATTGCATTATTTCAGAGCAAAGTAAAAGAATGTTCTAGAATTAATGGCTGTTCAAACCATCAGATTCAACTTTTTGCGAACGCCGTGAAGCCATCTGCCTACACAAAGCGATCATGCGCTTTTTTGCGCACATTGTGTCTTTCATTTCCATGTGCACAAATATTACGAAATACACATGTAATGTAAAGGTTTCAAAAAATAGTAAATTTTTGCTTGACACCCATGAAAATCACGCTGGCTTCCTTGCATTCAACTGAAATCGCTCGTATTCGAAAATTTCCAAATCATGTTTGCAAAATACATGGAGCCATTTTTCGCAGAGCTGAAAATGCTGTTAGGGAGATGGAAAATGGGGGGGTAGAGGAACGAACGCCTCAATTAGGCATCGCCTCCGCGGGCTGCTGGTCCTTTCGTCCTACTGTTATGCATCGTGTTGGGACCAGTGGTCCGCGGAGGCGGTGCCTAATTGAGGCGTTCGTTCCTCCACCCAAAATGGGGCACCTAGAGTATAACTGTAGATTTCTCAAGAAAGGAAAGTGATTAATCTTCCCAATTTTGATAGATGCTAAAATAAATTATTCTCTTTGAGAAAATACCTATATAAGGTCATTTACATACCTAATAATGTTTATAGCGGTTGAAATGCAAAGTTAACCACTTCGATAATTTATGAAGTTTGACCAGTATCTACGCAGCGAAACATCTGAGACCGCCCAAAGTACCACTGCTGAAGCTGGAATGGGTGGTGGGACAGTCACCAAACCCACGACGTCTTGGTGGCTTCCTTTCAAAGTTAAGAGATGGTAAGAGAGAGAGAGATAGATATGGCCATTAGCAGCTTCAAGAACAAAGATACGCGTTATTCAGTTCTTTGCGGGTGAACGCATGTTTTCTAAGTACCTTCTGATAGATTTGCGCTCTATTCATCCATATACAGCTTACCTCAATTTTATCTGTTTTTGGAAAATAGAGATTGAAACTTGATTTATTGGTTTTTGTTGCCTCAAAAAATCGCGATTTTTCAGGTATTTCGCTTTTTTATGCAGAATTAAAAAGAAATCCTGGATGTTTAATATATTGTTTGAAAGAGCATGAAGAGCTCTTTCGAATGGTGTATCAGCTCTATAACCTTACGGTATGGCAGCGCAAAAATGAGCGATGTTCAAAAAAACGCGTTCGAGTTCTTCAAGGCGCCACGCGTAGGGTTCTGGGAGAGGAGCGTTGACGCTTTGCCAGAATAATAGGCGAAGGTCGCTAAGCGACGTTTACGTTGCAGCCTGCTTGTTGTTGATTGAAACAGAAAATCTCAAAATTTAATAAAAATCGAGTGCCCCATTTTTTTGCCGATCACCCTAATATAAATGACACTTCTTTGAATGCCTCACCCTACAATGTCTGTATTTTCAGGTAAAAATTTGCTTATGCTCAAATAAGTGTATTCAGGCTGTCCCTCGTCATCGTACTCACTCCTCTTTTAGAAGGTTTTCACGACAACATTCTTGTTCTTGATCGCTTTGTTAATTGAGTATACACTATTAACTAACACTCGATTCTGCAAATAATTTATTGCTCTCCTTGTCAGCAAAAACCAAATTCATGTTGCTGAATGTTATTCTGCATGAAACAGTTTTCTAAAATTAGGGGATGTTAATACTAACTATAGTAGCAATACACGCCAAAAACATACTTCAGTGTGCCCCAAGTAGACATACCTCCGTCGTCTTTCAGCTGGATGATCTGCAAAATATGATATTAATATTCCAAAATGAGACATTTTAGGTTGTCAATAAATTAGTGGTGCTTTGCATGTTACCGTAGCAGAGTGATTACCATGGGTGGGTAGTGTTTGATGGAACAAAAGCTTTGCAAGGTGATGATTGAACATCCGCATAAAGTGATATTTACGCGAAGTTTGGAGTCAAAATCAGAAATATTTATTACTCCAAAAATCGCACCCATGTTCAAGGAAGCCCTGAAGGTGCCCAATTTGGTCATTTTTCTACATGAAACTGAATGTCTGTCTGTCTGTTTGTTTGTCTGTCTGTATGTTCGTCTGTCCTTATGGTATGTACGTACGTTCCGAATAGAAATTTTTATTTCTAGACTGATCCGGACCAAACTTGGCATACATACACTTTGGTGCAGAGCGGGTTTCGTAGGCTACTTTTCGTTATCAATCGATACCGACTTTATCAATTTTTGCAAAACTTGAGCTGCGGGACCGGGAGTTGGTTCAAGGGGGGGGGGATAAGCGAGCATGCTGATTATAATACAACAGTTCTTTGAATTATTGGTCGTTTTTATTGATTTTATCAATTTTTTGCAAACTTCGAGATACGGGGCTGGGAGTCACGGCAGGTAAGGGAGCATTTGATTGCCAAAACATAATGAAGAGTGGAGATAGGGGCAGGAAAATGTGCAAAAAATCGGAAATGGTAATTATCATAATGTACTGACAGAGCCGGACGGAGCCGGTTAGGCCAGCTAGCTAGTATATATGAACACATTGTAGTGTTTGTAAAATGCACTCGCTAGTTTTCTCAAAGCAAGAATTCAAAAAAAAATAGGTGAAGACCAGGAAATTGCCGTTGCATCGGAATTTTCATGTTATAATTAATTGATTGCTAAAGTGGGGATACGTTCCATTATACATAAAGATTTGTAACATGTATTTGTAGTATACCAATTACATGTTTTAGAGAAACATGGTTGGATTTTGCAATCAGCTCTTTATTTTTTACTTCCTAGTCATTAAAAATTACAGCGAGTATATATGAATGCATGATGCACAGAACGCGTGACCAAGTTATTCGTAGAATTCTCCAGAACTATGGTTCCCGTACTGGAGTGATACTCTTTCTCTCTCTCTCTCTTGAGTTTTTGGCTTCAATTTTTGTTTGAGATATATGTAATGCAGATGCTGATCTTGTTGTAGAGTTTGCTTTGCTCTGTCTTTGCTATCTCTCTGGCAAGGTATGTAGCTGGGGAAGGACCAATATTTGTTTGATAATTGGTAATGATGATTATTAAAACGTTGTGTACTTTTTGATACTATGGACTTGTACTTGCAACGAAGAAAAAATGTCCTCCTTCTTTAAGACGAAATTTCTCAAAGTATGTATTTGTATTCCACATCTACAGGGAAACGATACTTGGTGACCACGGCCATGTGAAATACGATGTATACCATAAGGTGCATCTCAAAACGCTGATTCCAAATCTGTGCTCGAAATCTGCGAAACGATCATTTGAAGGCAGTTATGAACCTTTTTTCGTAGAAAATTTGCGTACTTTCAGGTAGTTAAAATTACCCAATTTGATCTATTTTATCGTTTGAAGCTATTGAGGAGAATCTTGAAAGTTGTAGCGTTGTATTTATACCTATCTAAACAATATTCAGCATTTGATAAGGAAAGAAAAATTTTTATTAATGATTTTCACACTTCGCCGTAGCGCAATTCATTTTTGAAAAAATAATCATAACTCAATCCAGGTTTTCGTTTCGCAGATATGGAAAACAGTATTCGAACCAGCATTAAAAGGCGCATTTTTTGATACACAAATCATTATGAATGGCCGGGGTAACCAAGTATCGTTCCCTGCTTAAAGATTTTATGTATTACATCGTAAATGTATGTGCTCCAAAGTCACATAATACGTTGATACAAAAAGTCAAACTTTTGAAATCATTCTACATTGTTGAATGGGTTCTGGGATTTCTGGAGGTCTAGGAATGACTGGAGCCATTCACATTCCTACAGCGTGATTTTCTTATTTTTGAATGGAGAAGGCTTCGGTCAAAACTTCGGGTAGTATTGGAAGAGGTTTTGCACAGAATTCAACGATAACTTTTGCACCTTTGAGCAACCTACATAACAATAAGCGTAAAAGTTTTTACTCGAGTTTTTTTTAGTCTTAGTCAAGTAAAGCTTTTACTTCAAAAAACTCCTTACCAGAGACTAGTACGACAGAGAGCAAACAGCGTTGAAAATGTAAGAACCTAGCTGTTAAGCATCATGCGCACACTTTATCGCTGACAAGGAATGCATGTTTAGTCGAAGTGATCTTTTTAGATAAGATGTATACCGTATTGAAGGGTATAAAATGCTGATTTCAAATCTGCCTTCTTCATCTGCAGAACGTTTATATTGACGAGAAGTTATGAGCGCTTATTGAAGCAAAAAATTGAATGTGCTAGTAGGATAAAAACAGCCGTAATACTTTTTCTAGCCCTTCAAGGAACGGTGATATTCATTAGTGCACTTTATTCAAACAAACTTTGAAATAAAATATCACACTTGGTGGCATTATTTGAGGGCTGGTAAGGTTTTAGCAACACAGTTTATCCCGAATGCACATATAATTTTTGGCTCCAAAAAACGCTCATAACTCTTCGTCCGTAAGGGTTCTGCAGATAAGGAAGGCAGATTTGGAATCAGCATTTTATGCCCTTCAATATGTTACACATCCCGTTTAGAAAGGCCACTTCGACTAAACAAACTTTTCTTGTAAGATCTTGCCATTGTTAGTCGTTATATTATGCAGCAATAATGATGTGCTCTAATACGTTATCTATATTGTGCTGTTTTCGATATTTTCTCGAGATTATTCGGAGGGCACGAGGTCCCAAAGCTTATTAACTTTCTATCTCCACTTCATACAAAAGATACTGCATGATGAGTCCTTTGAACCCGCAAGCTTTTAAATACGAGAACATCTGAGATCCTACTTGCTCTCGTCTCACCTGGGTATATTAGACAGGGAATCTTTTGGTCATCGGACTAAAACCAATTTTTTTGAACAGCAGTCTATCAAATATACATTAGACAAAATTTTTGTTAAAGTCGAGTATGTTATAGTTTCTTGTGGTTCGGAAATCGAGTCCTATTTTTTGGACTTTACGTAAGTTTTGTTCTCAGTAAAACGTTACCTTCCCTACAAACTCTTAGAAACAAAGTAAGTAGAAATCAACACCTGGATGATTGAGGATCATTCTACCAATTACAAATGCATACTGTAAAAAGGAAAAGCAAAACGTACTTCACTCTCCATACAGCAGTCACCTCCGATGCACGTCCAATCTGAGGATGGGCATGTGTGATCAGAAAGGCATGCTGAATATGTGCCGTTACTTTTACGGTTTGCAGACTTTGCTTATTATGGCATGGCACATTCTTTGATAGGATTGATTGTGATTTGTGCGAGAGAAAGTTCTCGAAAGTGTCTCCAAAGCTTACGTCCCGCTATTTCCTCCGGTTTGCAACCGAGGTTCGAAGGCACATTCAGGCTGAATGCACCTGCTAACAACAAAAGAAACAGCGTCAGCATGTAGTAACTCTTAGATTATGAAACATATCAGTGCTTGGCTCGCATTTATATTTGTTGACAAAAACAGCTGAAACAATATCGTGAACGTTTGAAATGCTTCGAATGTTAAAGAAAAAAAAAGAAAAAAAGCACGAAATAGCTTTTTTGTGCAGCAACCAATCCGCATTCATTGTCATTCTATACATAACATTTGATTTGAAAAATTACGAAATTCTTTAAAGGCCTATGATATGTAAGAAATTCGTGAGGGACAAGCTGCCACGCATCCAAAATCAATCTATTACTGAAAAAGCCAAACTGTTGGAAAGCTTGATGCTGTGTTAATGTGATTTTTTGTGCAGCAACCAACCCGCATTCATTGTCATTCTATACATAACATTTGATTTGAAAAATTACGAATTTTTTTAGGGCCTATGATATGTAATGAAGTGTTTCAAGAATGGTGGGACTGCTTTACAGATTCACTCAGTTCGATGGCACTAGAGTCAAATTCCTGGGTTTTTTGAGAATGGCCTACACATTTTGAAATCAGTATCCTTAAACCTACATTATAGAACAACAAAAACTCTTGGAAATGTTCAGCAAATATTGATGAAAATAAAAGTGTAGGAGGTTTTCTTAAGGCTCATTCAAACAAGATGGCAATAAAATCAGTGACGCAACTACTTGGTCGATAGAAAGGGGCATGGGTTGTTATATCTGGCTTATCTTTGTGAATTGTGCAAACATAAATAGTCGCAAAAATCTTTAGATTTCACTGAAGTGCGGATTATATATTAGATTGGCGAAAGTTCTTGCGTAATCTGAACAAAATTTCGAACCTTCTACATATAGCAGTAGTTTCAAATTCACTATTTGGTTTTCTAAAAATAATAAAATGTTTGCGCTTTATGATAGTTCTCAATGTCCTCTTCTTAAAATGCCAAATGTTCTTAGAGCTGTAAATTTTCATAAACTAGCCCCAAAAACGAAAATTTGAAATAAAGCCTTTAGAATATTGCGATTCCGAGGCGCTTTGCGCTAGTCCTTATGCAAATTTCTGTTACCAAACAGAAATCTGCATAAGGACTAGCGCAAAAAAACTGTTGAAATTTCATGCGCAAGGTCGTCCATACTATACTGTAGCAGCTTCGGTCCTGCATGGAAATGCCAAAACCACAAATTTATGGAAAATGTCATTTTGCAGAAACGAGGTCCCCTCAACACTGTATAAAAACACAACTGAAAGCCAGAATTATCACTTAATTTACTGCTAACCTAAATCCTGTAAGTTTCTGATACGTCAAACAGCGTGTGTTTTTGCTGAAAAGTGCAGTAATAGGGTTTTTCTCCTGGAATGGCATTTTTCAAAAAATATTTTATTTCGCGTTTCCATGTAAGACTGAAACCTGCTGCAATAGTGTGTGCACTACTGTTACGTAAAGAAATTCGTACAGAATTTTGGGGCTAGCTAACGGCTTTCTTTTTCTGGCACCGAACCCAAAATTGCAAAATTCGAAATACTATATCCTTCGTTTTTGATGACTTATGAAAAGCTACGCTTCAACATCTGTTATGAGCCGCAAAATTGCTGCTATTTTCTGAAATCAAAGTTATAGGTGCACTATATGGTAAGATATCGAATTCGTTCTTCTTAAGCACGAACTTTAGCGCCAACTATCACAAAATTTTTTAAGGGTCAAATTCCTTTTGAAAAAGATCAGCCCGCAAAAACTTGGGAAAAGTTATTCAAAAAAATTGTTCCACTTTCCCCGTAGCGTTCGAAAGGTTTCCAATAAGTGAAAAGATGGCATGCTCGTATTATAGAGTTGCAATTGGCTTTTATGCTGTGACAGATTGATAGCATAAAGCTCTTTGGATGCTTAATAATTCACTGTACATAATACATGTGTTCGACCTGGTATTTATTTGTCAATAAATTTTATTCAAAGTATTCATGGCATTTCCTTTGTTGAGTGGGATGAAAAGTTTAATAAAGTTTGGTTGATTTTGAATGTTTTCGTCCAGACCGAGTTTATACTCTCGACGGTAGTAGAGTGTATTGACAGTATTTCTTAGACTGCAGTTTTCTTGATAGAAACTACATTTGCCAGATTTTTGCATTTTTGACGATGTTCACGGATACTTTAAAACCTGAAAAAATCTAATAGGGTGCTAGCGTTTAGCTAATAGCGTTCACAAAACCTTGATTACCTTGCTTAGCAAAAAGACATATGTCCTTATCTGTCACAAATGGTATATCAGAATCAATAGCTAATTTAGTAAGAGCTGAGAATTCATCAACCAGGAAGCCGCAAAGTCGGTTTAGAATGAGAACAATTGTTTTAAGTAATGTGCAGTAATGTTCTGAGTTAGCCATTCAAGTCTTATCCGCGATGTTGTGCATTTCTCAATCGTAAGCTAATTGCTTGCAAACAAAACTGCAGTAAAATAGTTAAATACGTTTGGTTATGCTGCAATAAACAGCTTCAGCACACTGATAGTTGAAACGCTATCTCATAGTACTGCACACAGTTCAGATTACTACAAGCTCCATTTACCAAACACTAACCCTCAAACAAGTGTATAGATGACTGTCACAAACGTAGCTGTATGCCATAACATTTCCGGAGAGCTCAGATTTCTCCTTTCCCCCATTCTTACGTATGATGAGAAACGTAAGGCACCTGATACCGTAAGTACGATACTCAGATTGTTGCGTATAGATGCTTTTCTTGTTCTACTTTCCCCCATTCTTACACATGATGAGAAACGTAAGACACCTGACTGTAAGTACGATACTCTCAAAATTTGCATCCAGTATTTGCCTTCAAAAGGTAGGTCCTCAAAAGAAGGTCATTGATGAGCAGTCGAGCATGGGACATTCTCTAACATATGATAATGTAACAAACAACGATCATATCAGGTGAAGTCCATCGATGTTTATTTTAATAGCACATGTTTAGCCTGATCATTCATTCTCAACTTTTTTTAGCTAGTTTTTCGGTTTTGTTACGCAATGTTTCTCTCATACACTCCCAATAACAGTTGATGTATCCCTGCTGGTCATGCGGAAATTTCCGGTGGCACTTTTCTTCGCAATTTGGCTAAAATAATAAACAAGTCAGATTACTTTAGGTGAAATACGTGCAAACATACTTCATAACAGTCCCCCTTCTTTTCATGCGAAGTCAAGCAAGGAAATAAACAACCAAGAAGGTCTTTTCCACAACCCGTAACACCACACACATGCATCAGAATGAGAACGAACATTAGTTTGTGCGACATCGTTCTCTGAAAATAATCCGTGAAATTAAGTGATGAGACAAAGACTAAGATGACAAAGATTAAGTCAAATTCTACTGCAAGACTTTGTTCAGGAAAACGGTTATACTTTCCTGCTGGGTCGAGGAAGTTGTTTGGAGATTTTGGGCTCTAGCTTTTTTCACCTTTACCGCGATTATTGTAAGAAATTTTTGCAGGCGTTAGATTTTGTGGTTGTTTTAGTTTTGAGGAGTTTTTCTTGCATAATTATCACAGGATCCCATCGCAGAACTAGTTGGGCAAAAATGGTCTAGCAATGGAGCCTAAGCTGTTTTAATTTTCAAACCACAGAAACTGAAGAGTTCGAATACAACATAGATTGAAATCAATCACACTGTTAGGGTTGCTTTTCCTCCTACCCTGCTTTTCAAAACAAAAGAAGATGGTTACCAATATATGCAGTCAATAGGCAGTGTAACAATGTACCGAAGTTCCTTTTTCTTGACGCAAAAGGGAAGAAACCCCACAATAGCAAAAACAAAATGAAGGACAAAGTTAAAATTTTTTGCACGTTCACAGGCAGGGCTCGGCACAGGTGGCTTATAAGTTGGTAACGTTTTTGAGGCAAAGTAAAGGGGGTATCGTCTTTGTTGGTCCGAAGAAGCATAAGTTAGGTTAGTTTTTTTTAATTCGACGTTCCGTTTTTTAGTCGACCCGGGTAATTTGGATAGGGGTCAAAGGGGACGTTGTAAAGTTTAGCGAAAGTCAGAGAAACTTCGTTTTTTGCATTTTTGGGAAGCCACCTTGTGTCGGGCCCCGTTCTTAGGTATTCACGATCAGAAGCAAACAGATGCAACCCGAAATCTCGGCTCCTTAGCCTATTCTTTTAAGCGTATTTGAAAATGAAAGGTGAAATAAGATTAAAAGGTCTTGGCATCCTTGATGCTCTCTGCGGGAGTGATTCAAACGCGTCTTCTAATAATCAAAAAAATTTCTGCGACTCTTTGCAGGTTCAGCATTTCAAATCAGTGTTTTAGCCCCTTTCCTTCCCTCTCTCCCCCAACTACTCGTTACCTATGCATCCTCGAAAGGTTAAAAACTTGGCTAGAGTAAATGCAGATTTCGAACTTTCAGCCGTCATAATGGTTCTTTATACCACAAAACTGCATGCCCCTTAAATGATATTTTAGGATGACAGACGTTAACTTCATGAGCTATAGATAAAGGAATAGACTATATGGGAGTATTAGTTGAAGGGAAAGGTCCCTTTTGTAGGTTGGGACTTTGTATTGCACTAATTACAACTGCTCGTACGCAAATAAGGGAATATGTTACCACACCTGCATACTTTTAGAACAAGCTATTAGAACGTGAAATTGGCCTACAAACAGAAATCCATAGCACATCTAAATTATAAATACAAATTTGTTATATGTCCATGTAGTCAAGCACAGACAGTTGAGGACATATGTATGTACTGTCTGTCCAGATTTGTCCTTTCATCCAGAGAACAAACAAAATTGAGTATTTGAAGATGTTAGCATAAACTGAGTACTGAGTACTGTGCAGGTTTGCCCTTTCATTCAGAAAGCAAACAAAACTGAGAACATGGAGATAATAGCATAAACTGATACACCCACGTACACTGAGCTGCTCACCAATAATGCCTAAATTTTGAATTCAAACATTATGTAGCAGATGTCGAAGAAGAAATAACATTTCTTCATGTTTTAGCCTTATTTCTCGGCTGTGAAAAATCTGGATTT